TAGAGTGAGACTCCAACTCAAAAAAAAAAAAAAAAATTAGCCGGGCATGGTAATACATGCCTATAGTTCCAGCTACTTGGAAGGATCACCTGAGCCCAGCAGGTCAAGGCTGCAGTGACTGTGAGCGTGCCACTGCAGTCTAGTCTGGATGACAGAGTGAGACTCTGACTAAAAAAAAAAAGAAAGAAGTTTCTCTTGGGTATATAGCGGAGATGTTAAACTCCTGAGTCAGAAAGTACATAATTTGTGCATCTTTCCAAGATGGTACTATATTCTATTCCAAAGTAATTATCTCAATTTCCACTCCCACCAGCAGTCATAAATGGTTTTGTCACTTGGTATGCTCACTCCTATCTGCACCAAAGTATCTGTTGCCAAAGTCTCCATTCCCAGCACCCAGCAAAGTCTCCATTCCATGCCTTAGCCTCTCATTGTCCTGCCCAAGGGAAATTTCTGGAGGTAACATTAATGTTGCATGCTCTTTGGAGCCAGCAGGGTAACTAGGATCTAGGAGTATCTCTGGGTAAGATGCATTGAAGGCTGAAGTCAAGAGATTGGTGAGGCTTCTAGAACATGAGATGCCAAGGACCTCTGATGGACTGTTTTTCTTCAGGAACTCCTATTTCTTTGGGTGTCCTCTGACCTGTTCTCAGCAATTCTTCCTGCCAGTGGGTGAGTTTGATGGACCCTCTACCTTTGCTATAATGCTCTTCCCATCCATCCCCAAGCTGGATATTAGAGGAAGAAGCACAGGCCCTGATCTCTGTTTCTCCTCTTTCCCTACGGGTGCACTGGATGGGACCCTTGCTGGGTGCCTTCCTAGCAGTCTTCACCCTTGAATTTCTGTTCTCCTCTGTTACTTCATGAAAAAAATCTGGTGGTCTGCATGACTTGCCACCACGTGGAGATGGCAGAACCTTTCAGCAGGTTCCACTCTGCCCTCTATTACCATGCAGCCCCATTCCCAGGTCCCAAGTCCCACGCCAAACCTAAGCACAAATGAGCCTCTCTCCCCAAGCTTACCTCCCCTGTGTTATCCCTTTATCTCACTTGACCAGCTGCTTCCCCTGATCCATCCCCACCCCGAGACCTTTCTCTGGGAATCAAGAGTTAGTACTCCAGTGTCCTGATCATGGCTACATTAGACCCTCCCATTGTTTCACAGCCATGACTCAGCTTCCTTCTTTTTACTTCTTGCTGTGGCCTTGTGAGTTAGGAAAGATGAAGCAGAAACCAATTCTGAGGTTTAACTATGAGTCTCTTCTTCACTTCCCAGGCCCCCATTCCAACTCCCCACCCTTGCATGGAAGATAACTTCTTCTCTCAGGTCTGTCTCTGTGGTATAAAAGGCCAGGCTGAGGGTTTGAAAAGGCAAGTGCTGTCATGAGTTGGGGGTAGGGAACCCGGGCCCAGAGAAAGCCAGACACAGCAGAACTATTCTGTCCCAGAGCTGCAGGGTCCACAGATTCCAGCCCAAACTAGCCAATGGGAGAAGGCCCTCTAATCCCAGGGAACTAAAGAATTCTCTTCAGTTATCCAACTTCCCTGCTGAACCCTACTCCTTACCCCACCCCCACCTGTGCCTCTGGCAGACTCAGAGGAGTCTGAGGCCCCCAGGAGCTCAGTCCCATACCCCATTAAATGAACTCAGCTTGATGGACCTTCCAAAGAGAGCTGAGGAATGTTCTAATACAGATGTCAATCAGGACTATGAGCCCCAACTCTGATACAAAAAGAAAGGCAGACTTCTCCAGTCCCACCCTCCTCAGAGTCTATCCGGCTCTGACCACAATCCCACCCTCACCCCCACGGCTGTCTCAGCTCATCTGCCAGTTGAGGACAAAAGGGAAAATCCAGGTGCATGGGAGTGGGGCTTGCCCTCCACAGCCGTGAAGGGGTTAAGAGGCTGGGCCAGCAACCCCAGCCTGCCCCTCCCAGGGATTAAGAGTCCTCTATAAAGGGGACTGTCCACCCAGACCAGGCCAGGGGGGTAGCAGGGACCCAGGCATTGTGCCCATCCCCCCTGCCATGTGGGAACTGCGGTCAGCCTCCTTTTGGAGGGCCATATTTGCCGAGTTTTTTGCCACCCTCTTCTATGTCTTCTTTGGGCTGGGGTCCTCACTGCGTTGGGCTCCTGGACCCCTGCACGTCCTGCAGGTAGCCATGGCCTTTGGCTTGGCCCTGGCTACGCTGGTGCAGTCTGTGGGTCACATCAGCGGAGCCCATGTCAATCCTGCAGTCACTTTTGCCTTCCTTGTGGGCTCCCAGATGTCCCTGCTCCGTGCCTTCTGCTATATGACAGCCCAGCTCCTGGGAGCCGTGGCTGGGGCTGCTGTGCTGTATAGTGTTACCCCGCCTGCTGTCCGAGGAAACCTAGCACTCAACACGGTAATGGTTGGCGGAGAGGGGCTGGGGGAACCTGGTGTCCTGACTCTGTTGCCTTGACTCCCTGCCTGGTGCAGGTGAATCAGCTCCCCTGGGGTCTGGGACAGTATGTGTGTGTGCATGTACACACATGCACACGTGTGCATGTGTGAGCTTGTGTGTGTCAGGATGTGGGGAGGATTCACAGGTGGTTTGGAACTGTAAGGAAGTCATAGAGCCCTGGACCGAGAATCAAGAAACCTGAGTTTGGGCTCCAGCTTTACCTCCAATTCCTTGCAGGTTCTTAAGGAAACTTCTTTTACCTTTTAGGGCCTCAGTTTCCCCATCCATGTAAGTGGGTGCAGTCATTTCCGCCACTGAGGAGTCTTGTTAGGGGAAATTCAGATACAAATACAGTGACTATGGAGGGATTGTATTATCCTTCCTCTCCAAGGAACTGATGCCACAAGGGGATCCTTACCTGGGAAGCCTTGAGGAGGTAAAGCTGTGGCAGCCCTAATGAGCTGCCTCCCTTCTTCTTCCTTTCCCTAGTTGCACCCTGGGGTGAGCGTGGGCCAGGCCACCACGGTGGAGATCTTCCTGACGCTCCAGTTCGTGCTCTGCATCTTTGCCACATATGACGAGAGGCGGAATGGCCGCCTGGGCTCCGTGGCCCTGGCCGTTGGCTTCTCCCTCACCTTGGGGCATCTCTTTGGGGTAAGCAGGACAGGGGAGCAACTTCTCATTCAAGGATTCCAGGGCCCTCGAACCTTTCCCAACACATAAGGGTCCTTCCCACCCACTCCACTGTCAAACATGGACATTGTCCACCTCACTCTGTATCTGCACAGAGGAATTCACCCCACCCTATTCCCTTTCTTGTGACTGCAGTATCTAGTCCTTCTTGCCTCCACAGTAGAAATGCAAGTGTCCTAGATGAACGTGGGCTTTTCCCATGGATCAATGGTCTGTACCCCATCAGTGCCCTCGCCCTATTGTGGGAGCCCTTGAGAGTCATGCAGGTTGTACTTCCCCACTTGCTGCTGGCTGGAGATAAGACTCTAGCTCTCAGGAGCAACATGAGTTGTAAGGAGAGTAGCTGGAGTGGCAGGGCTTGGGGGGGGTCTCAGTGACAACTGTGTCTTTTGCAGATGTATTATACTGGTGCAGGCATGAATCCTGCCCGCTCCTTTGCTCCTGCCATTCTCACCGGGAACTTCACCAACCACTGGGTGAGTGAGGGGAGGGGGCAAGATCCTGGAGTCCTTCTGGAGGGTTGTGGACTGCAGGTTCCAGGTGGGGCTCCTATTGTCCCTTTGGATGTGTGGGCTGCTCTATCAGCACTCAGACAAGGGTGCTGTCAGAGAGTCTGGCACGCCTGAGAGCAGGACTCATGATTTTACTAGAAAGAGAGGCTCTTGCTCATATTCTCTGGTTAGTCAGAGATTTTTACTGACTAGCCACTGGATGCCAAAACTAAGGTCTATAAAGATATAAAACTAAATATGAAGACAGAAACTTCTGCTCTCAGAGATCAGGATATGTTGCGAGCACAAACAGGCCTGGACCCCCTCCCGGTTCTAACCCGTTACTAGCCTTGTGTGTGACTGTGGGTAAATAACTCCATCATTCTGCATCTCAATTTCTTTAACTGTAAAATGGGATGTTATAAGAAATGTGTGAAAGTTATATGTGTAAAACATTTAGCACAGAATTTGGTATCAAGTAAGTATTCAATAAATACTAGTTATGTGTATGTTGTTTGGGCCATATGCAAGCCAAACATATGGAAATAATTTAAAAATTTTTCAAAGTGGTACCGCCATTTTCATAATGGCATTATTTACGATAGTCAAGAGGTGGGAGCAACCCGAGTGTTTTTCAATGGATAAATGGATAAACAAAATGTGCTGTATATATGTAAATGGAATATTATTCAGCCTTAAAAAGGAAGAACATTCTGACACATGCTACAACATGGATGAAACTTGAGGTCATTATGCTAAGTGAATGAGCCAGTCAATAGACAAATATTGTATATTCAATTTATATGAGGTATTTAGAATACTCAAGTTCACAGAAACAAGTAGAAGTGTGGTTGCAAGGGACCAGTGAGTGCGGGGTGGGCTAGACAGTTGTTTAAATGGTATAGAGTTTGTTTTACAAGATGAAAAACTTCTAGAAGAAAAACTTCTAGATATAGGTTGCACAACAATGTAAATATACTCAACACTACCAAACTGTAATTTTTAATTACAGTTACTATCAAAATGTTTAATTTTTTTTTTTTGAGTCAGAATCTCACTCTGTTGCCTAGGCTGCAGTGCAGTGACATGCTTATGGCCACTGTAGCCTTGACCAGCTGGACTCAGGTGATCCTTCCACCTCAACCTTCCAAGTAGCTGGATCTACAGGCACACGCCACCTGCCCGGCTAATTTTTTGATTTATTTAGAGACGAAGACTTACCATGTTGCCCAGGCTGGTCTCAAACCCCTGGACTCAGGCAATCCTCTTGCCTCCGCCTCCCAAAGTGCTGGGATTAGAGGCGTGAATCACCGTGCCCAGCTTAAAAATGTTTAATATTTTATGCTTATGTGTATTTTACCGCAATATTTTTGAAACAAACAAAAACTAGTGCAAATTGATAACAGCAAATAGAAAATACATGTGCTAAGAAGGTTTGGGATACTTTAATGAATCAGAAAAACAAATAGTGAGTATTCAGGTACAGGCAGTGGGGTAGAGTCTACAGATTAAAAAACAAACAAGCCAGGCTCGGTGGCTCAGCCTATAAATCCCGCGCCTTTGGGAGGCTGAGGTGAGTGGATTGCCTGAGCCCACGGGTTCGAGACCCACCTGGGCAGCGAGACCTCATCTCTACAATAAATCAAAAAATCACCTGGGCGTGGTAGCGCATGCCTGTAATTCCGGCTACTTGGAAGGCTGAGGTGGAAGGATCGCCAGAGCCCAGCAGTTCGAGGCTGCGGTGGCCGGGAGCGGCCACTGCACTCCAGTCTGGGCGACAGAGTGAGACTCCAACTCAAAAAACAACAACAACAACAAAAAAAAAAAACAGACCCACGCTGTCTACCTAGATAATGCCCAACTGTGTCTTGTTTTCCACTGAGGGGGCTGGAAAAAGAACAGCCTGACTGCTCTATCCTGTCTCCCAGCCTGAGTATCCCTTTTCTCTTCCCACAGGTGTACTGGGTGGGCCCAATCATTGGAGGGGGTCTGGGCAGCCTCCTCTACGACTTTCTCCTCTTCCCCCGGCTCAAGAGTATTTCTGAGAGACTGTCTGTCCTCAAGGGTGCCAAACCCAGTGACTCCAATGGACAACCAGAGGGCACAGGGGAACCTGTTGAACTGAAGACCCAGGCCCTGTAAAAGCTCCAGCTGGAGAGAGGGAGTAGAAAAGCTTCTGGGTTTATGTGAAGGGGCTGAGCCAACCCCTGGATGAAGAAAGAGACTGTGGGGAGGGGCATGTACTTCTTTATTTTTTAACTTATGTGTTTTTTTTTCTTTTTGCCGTGTGAAATCTTTCAAGTTGCATTCATGAGCTGGTTGGTGCAAACTTCCCTTCCTCCCCACCCACCTCCCTTCGCCGTGTGTGCTCGATCATGCATATGAATGTGGGTGAGTGTGGCTGTGTCTGAGTTCTGGGGCTTGAGAGCTAGGGAAGGGAAAAGTGGTGTCATCCTATACCTCCCTTCCCCAACCCAGTGTGGTGAGCACAAGGAACCAAGCAAGACCTTAAGTTTCTGGTCTTTACCCTCCCTACAGTCAAGTGTATGGTTCTTGATTTCTGAGGGAGCAGGGAAAGCAGGGAGTGACTCCTCACAAGAGGCAGATGGAGAAAAGTGGAGAAAAGGCATTTCAGAGGTTGGGAGGAGAGACTTGAGGGAGGTGGGTGACTGGGAAAATGGAGTTATTAGACCCAGATCAGGATGCAAGTATACCAAAAAGTTTTGAAGAAGTAATGGAAACATAAAGCCTATTAATCTCAGGGATGCTTGCCCCAGGGACTTGGGTGGGGAAGTAGCTCTGAGAAAAGTGAACACTGGGATATGAGCTGTTATGTAAAGCCACATAAACCTGTCTCCATCCACTGGCTGGGTTGTGTGTTCATTCTGGCATAATGGATCTCTTCGGAGGCCCTGGGCCAGGGAGCTCCCAACCTAAATAAGGGGTAGGCAAGCCAAGAATCTAGAAAAATAAGCAGCTTGATCGGTCTGCCTAAAATGCCCTGGTGTGGTCTCCTGGAAGGTGGTATTTAAGCCCCAGATTTGCTAAGGTCAAAACGGGAAATCTGATGCCTGGAGCGAATAAATGCAGGGATGGGAGTGGGGGCCATGAAGGAAGAGGCTTTGACCCTCAGAATTTTAATTTATTTAGAGCAAATCAAAACACTCTTCAAATGGCATCTTTCTGCTTTTATCACTAGTCTACGAGTCTTTTCTTTTTGTATCTGTGTCTTTTCACTTCTCTCATCTGTCCTTTCACCTTGAAGCAAATCTCTTCTAACTTTCCCTCACATCCCATAAACTGATTCCTTCTATTTAAATGCTTAACAATTCAGGAGACAATTGTTTGAGTCCTATCTTCTTTTTTTTTTCTTTTTTAAGAGAAGGGGCCTGGCTATGTTGCCCAGGCTGGGGTTCAGTGGCTATTCACAGGCCCAATCATAGTTCACTACAGCCTCCAAATTCTGGGCTCAAGAGATCTTACCGCCTCAGCCTCTCAAGTAGCTGGGATTGCAGAGGACCGGGGCCATATCTTATTTTCCTGTTGGCAAAATACAATAATCTCAGAAGAGGTCGGAGGAAACCTTCAAATGACCAATAGGTATTTACTGTTGATCTTTTCCTTTTATGAGCCTCCTGCATACTTCCCAAGCTTTAAATTTATGTATATAGTACAACACAGCCGGCGGGGCGCAGCGGCTCACGCCTGGTAACCCCAGCACTTTGGAAGCAAAGTAGGAGGATCCTTTGAGCCAAGGAGTTCGAGACCAGTCTGAGCAACTTAACGAGACCCTGTCTTTACAAAATACAAAACAAACAAACAAAAAACCTGGGAAGAGGAGGATGAGCTAAACTTTATTTTTATTTATTTTTTTTTTAGAGTCCCACTCTGTCGCCCAGGCTGGAGTACTTTTTAATAAAACAAGAAAAATATATACTACGTTAGACACCCTCCCAAAAAGACCACTCCCCCAACCTCCTCATACTTCGGCTCTCCGCTTCCTCCCAAATAAAACCTAACTTTTCAAACCATTTAAGACTTGGAATAATCCACTTGACTAGAAGAAGGGGAGGGGTGTTTGTAAATTCATTCTAATCGGACTTTGATTCCATTATAATTCAGCATAAAATTCATAGAGCTGTGAATTTCACTTCAACGTAGGAGATCAACTCAGATAAACGGCCCCTGTACTCGCTTCCCTTTTCCTTACTTCATCACCACCCCCTACACCCCCCTCGTTCGGAGTCCCATGGACCATCCCGGCTCGCCCGCCTCGCCCCGCCCCGCTCCGCTCCCTGCGCTGGCGGAGACGGGATCTGCTGAACCTGGTGGCGGGAAGGGCCGTGGCCCGCGCCTTAGGAGAGCTGCCTCCGCGGGGCTCCTGAGGACCCGCGGAGAGCGGGTGAGTGAGTGTGTGGCGAGAGGCTCCAAGCGGACACGAGTCCCTTCGAAGCCGCGGGGATACTCGTGGGAGGCGGCGAGTCCCCTTTCCCGCCACTTGGTTTGGAGGCAGGGCGGGGCGCGCTCCAGGCGCACATGCGCAATTCCCTGCGCCTCGGTCGGGGCCGTAGCGTTCCCAGGTCTCCTCCGGCGCTGCCGGCTCTCGCGCCGCTCTGCACCGCGGGAACCTCTCGCGGGGTGGGGTGATGGAAAGGGGCTTGAAACTCCTAAAACTGAAGGCTCCTGGAGAGTTTTACCTCGGAGCGCCCCACCCAGTACAGACCGGAAAAAACCGGTGTGTGACGCTTGGCTGCAATCTTGGTTTTTATGGAAAGCTTTCTCCCTCCGTTCCCTTCTTTTTGGGGTTGTTAGCTGGACCATCAGCCGCTCATTAAGCTCCTTCCTTTGAGCCTCTCAATTCTTTACTCTGCCTTTCATGCTGTCATCAGTGCCTTTACAAAAGATCGAGCTGGTCGTTTCATATTAATTAAAAACCCCTCTTTGGCCACCCACAGTCAGGCTTATCCTTAGATGGGCGTCCGTGGCCTTTCACAGTCTGCCCCGGCCCTCAGCCTCATTTTGTAAAACTCCCTAACCTTTTTCTGGTCTCATGCACTTGACTCCTGGCCACAGGGAAAGTTGGTGTCTGCATTTGCTCTTTCGTTCCTGGATACCTGTGCTCCTACTGTACCCTGTACTTGGGAGTTCTTGCCACTTCTCTGCCAAATGAACTTCTCTTTGAGGGCTGAGCTCAGTCGTCCCTCTGAAAACCAATTTATCCAGCTCTCCTAGGCCAAGTTAGTTACTTCCTCCTTTGTGTCCCTGAAGTTTTTTTGTTTTGTTTTTTTTATCTCTATGGTCGGTGGCACTGATACAATGCAATAAAAGATGACAGCTCCTGACGTGTACCATGTGCTGTGCTCAGTGCCAGGTGTACAGAAATGAAGAGGACAGAGTGCCTGTCCCTTAAGGAATTCACAGTCTGGTAGGAAAAACACATGTTCTCTGCAGTTAGTGACAGGGTGTGTCTCCAAATCTCTAGCCCCAATCTCTTCCTCATCTTCCAGACTTGTCTATTTCAGTTCAGTTTAGTAAAGGGTTTATTGAGCTCCTACATTGTGCTGGTCAGGAGTTTACATTTTCGTGCAGTTGTTAGCAGGGAATAGCATTAGAATCTCCTAAGGCACATTTTTTTGAGTTCGTCTCACTCTGTCACCCAGACTGGAGTGCAGTGGCACACTCCTGGCCACCGCAGCCTCAACCTGCTGGGCTCTGGCGATCCTTCCGCCTCAGCCTTCCAAGTAGCTGGAACTACAGACACGCACTACCACGCCCGGTTAGTTTTTGATTTATTGTAGAGATGAGGTTTCGCCAAGTTGCCCAGGCGGGTCTCGAACCCGCGAGCTCAGGCAGTCTACTCGCCTCGGCCTCCCAAAATGCTGGGATTACAGGCTGAGCCTCTGAGCCCAGCCATCCTGAGGCACATTTTCAGAACACTTGCCTGAGCCCTACCCTTGGAAATTGATCCAGTAACCAGGCTCTGAAAAGTCAAGGGTGAATAACAAACTGTGCTTGTCCTTGGAATCTAAGGCTAACGCAGAGACACAGACAATTGGTTTTAACTGTTTTTTTGTTTTTTTGAGTTGAAGTCTCACTCTCGCCCCGGCTGGAGTGCAGTGGCACAGTCACAGCCACCCCAGCGTCAACCTGCCGGACTCCAGCAATCCTTTTGCCTCAGCCTTCCAAGTAACCGGAACTATAGGCATACATTACCACGCCTGGCAAATTTTTGATTTATTGTAGAGACATGGTCTCACCAAATTGCCCGGGCTGGTCTCGAACCTGCAGGCTTAGGCAATCCACTCGCCTTGGCCTCCCAAAGTGCTAGGATTACAGGTTGGGCCACCAAGCCCAACCGGTTTTAACTGTTATGTACAACATGAGATGCAAGTGCCGTGATGGAAGTCTATACCACAAAGTAGATAAAAAGGAGGAGTTCACTTCTGTGTGGAGAAGTTGAGAGGAAGTACCTTTTGTGTAGAGTCCTAAGAAATAAGTTGATAGACTCTAGGTGGATGAGAGAAGGCCATTCTGGACAGAGTAGTGGCTTGAGAAAGAAGCTTGGAAGGTAAACAGCAGAGAGATCATAAAGGGCTTTGTATTGTAGGCATTGGGGTCACTGAAACTAGTTTTGTATAGTAATGCGTGCTAATGGTAAACAATTCAAGTAGAACCAAAGTGAAAGATAAACATTTCTACTAGCCTAGATCCTCCGGTTCTCCTATGTAGTTTCTTATGTATCCACTGAAGTGCTTTAAGCAGGGTGGTTATATGGCCAAATCAAGTCCTCATATTGAGACTAGATTTAAGGGAGCAAGATGGCAGGGTAATAGGTTAGGAAGAGATCAAATAAGTAAGAGATATTCAGGAACTGAACTAAGCAGTAGCAATTGGAATAGACAGGGCCTGATGGAGGAGCTTAAGGAAGTTACATGAGATGGAGCTATCTAAGATGACTCCTAAGTTTCTTTTTTTTTTTTTTCCGAGTTGGAGTCTCACTCTGTCGCCCAGACTGGAGTGCAGTGGCACGCTCCCGGCCACCGCAGGCTCGACCTGCTGGGCTCCGGTGATCCTTCCGCCTCAGCCCTCCAAGTTGCTGGAACTACAGGCACGCGCTACCACGCCCGGCTCATTTTTTGATTTATTGTAGAGATGAGGTCTCACCAAGTTGCCCAGGCGGGTCTCGAACCTGTGGGCTCCCAAAGCGTGGGATTACAGGCTGAGCCACCGAGCCCAGCCCTAAGTTTCTTCTAATGTGAATAACTGAGACGATGGTGTCAGTCCTTGAGAGAGCCAAAACAGAAGTGGAGACGAACTTGGGGGTAAGATAAGTTCCATTTTGGACATGTTAAGTATATTTGAGACATAAAGATGGAGAATGCTGTTCATTATCAGTTTAACATGTGAGATTGACAGCTCAGGAGCTCAGAGGGGCCAGAGATACAGATTTGCTGGCTGCTGGTGCAGATGGTAGTTGAAGCTTGTGGGAGTGGGTGAGTTTGCCCAATCATGCTGTGCATAGTAAGATGGGAAGAAGACTAAAGAGGCAGGTCTGTGGAACATCAGCGCTTAAGGGGGAAAGGTGCGGAGCAGCCAATGTGTCAAGGAAAGGTTTTATTTTATGTTGAATTTTCCCCCCTTAAGATGGAAGATCCTTGAGCAACTCATAATATATGGGGCTGGGGCCAGTGTAAAGGAAGGCTGGAAATGAGAAATGAGGAACAACCACCTGAAGGGCAGGAAGTGATTGGTCAAGAATACAAAAGGGCTTAGATTAGAAGCAGAGATAGGATGAGTGTTTAAAATATGTTTTTAGGCTTGGATGGAGGGCATGTTTGATGGCCTCAGTTGTTCCCGAGAGGA